CCCGACGGTGGCTTCCTGCTTATCCTAAAAACTCAGCCAGGTTGGCATCTTCGCTGCCGGCTCACTCGGCAGAAAAGCAGCATGCAATGCCCCCATGCAGAAAAGCAGCGCTTTCTGCCCCTTCACATGGGACCGACAGCTTCTCCCGCACTGCCACTGCCTGCTTGGGGTGGCGCCAGGCTCCTGCACAGCCCAGATACCCTCGGTTGAGCTGGGTCCCACCGGCGTTGACTGCATCCCCTGGGAACCACAGGGGCTGCACCCACCCACCACACAGAGCATTTCCCTTTGCCCCCCCCCCGCAATGCACCCCATCGCTCCCGTCCTGCAGGCAAGCCCCAGGCTGTCCATGCCAGCTTCGCACAGCTGCATCGAGCCTCTGCAAACGGCCGACGTGCTTTTTCCAGTGACTCATTCTCAGCCTTTCCTTTCTCTCTCTTTTTTTTTTTTTAAAGGCACAACCTCAGCTTTGCACCCAGCAGAAGCCACACGCCTGCTCTTCGCCCCACCCAAAGACAGGGGTTGAGAACAACCTCCAACCTCCTTCCTCCTCCCAAAACCTGACAGCCGAGGACACATTGCAGACTGAAAAAAGAAGCCGCCAAACTTCTAAGACTGCTTTCCTGAGCTTTCACTTTGCCCATCAGGCTGGCCTAATCCACACCCCCACTTCTGCACCACCCCATGCCCTGCTGGGACCCCCCCACAGCCAGAGCCCGAGCAAAAAGCCTGCGAGGAGCTGAGAAGGCTCCAGAACTAGTTTCAACAACTTTTCAAGTAAGTAACTTCTTTTTTCTTGCTTTCGTGCATGTTTAGGGGACAGACTTTAACAGACTGCTAAAAAATGATCTGCTGCAAATAACTTTTCCCCTGTCCTCCTACCCACCTTTCCCTCTCCCAGGCAGGAACCATAACCACCAAGGAGAGGAAGGGTAACCCCTCCCCAAAACTTCCCTTTGCCAGCTCTTCTTATTTTCGTTTTGCCCGTTTTCAGGCACTGTCAGGAAGGTCGCAGGGCCTTGTTTATCAGGGCTATTTGCTGGTAACTCTAATAACAGGGTTTTGAGCCCCATGCACTAGAACAAGCCTGCAGGTTTAGGGTATGGCTGCAGGCGTGGTGTACCACAAAGCATGGCAGCCAGAGAGTGAGGCCTGGCTCCCCATCACGTGATGATAGTTTTTGGCTGGTCTGTCTCCTTTGCTAAGGGAGTTTTGCATATGGAAAACTGGGAAGATGCAGGAAGACATTAAGGGCTGGTTGTGTTTGAACTCACCAGTATCACAGCATGACTTTGAAGGGATTGGCGTGGGTTAGGCACAGCAGGGAACCAAGGCCTTATTTCTGCCCCTGTTCCCTTCCACTGCTCCACAGAGGAAGGGAGTAACACAGGATTTGGTGGGGCAGCAGATGAACCAAAACACAGTAGTGATTTAAAGCACAGTGCATGAACCAGCCTTTTATAAGAGACCAGAAGGATTAAGGTGCCTCTGTCTTCTCTGCATGAATGTCCCTGCAGCAGGGGTTGGGGTGGGGAAGCCTTGCTCCATGCACACTGGCGAGGACATCCCACATCAGGGCGGGCTTTGGGGCGTTCCTGCTGTGCATCAGGGCTCCCTGAGAGCCCCGGATGTGCACCAGTGCTGCCGGCACTGTGCAAGCTCCCAGAGACAGTTTATTTGGTCCCTGGGTCCTTCCTGTCTCCAGCAAACACCAGTGACAGCAGTTCCCCTAAGGCCAGCGGGTTTCGTCACATGGGTGAGGGTTCCCAGAGCTAGCAATGTGCTTGGGGCTTCCTGAGATGAAACCCTGTGGGGATGCAATGCAGATGGAAAGGCAACTAAGAAACTAATTAAATGCAGCTTGCAAGTGGCATGGGAGAATGGGCATTACTGCAGAGAGCGTGGATACACTCCCAGTTATTTCCCTGTCCTTTAAAAAAAAAATCAGGGCACATGCTTTACTCTTCTTGGTACCAAGTGCCTGCAGTCCACACAACCCAGCCCTGTTGGTGGTATGGGCATCCCAGTATAACCAGTGTTGTACTGGGAGGAGGGGCTTATGGAAACTGCACAGGTGAAGGGTGGTGAAGTGCATCTCTGGCACTGAGGCATACAGGTCAAGGGGCTCAATTTCAGTCTAGCAGTTAGACGCTGAGCCAGGACAGTGGGCCAGGACAGGGAGCACAGTTATGTCAACCAACAGTGGGCGAGAAGGAGATCATCCTGCCACACCTAATCAGAGAAAAAAACTCTTACATAATTGCTGACCGAGCTCTACCAGCATTTGGTGTTTGTATCCTGGGTCATCAAGGTAAGTTCTGCTTTCCCAGAAAGTAACTTCTTCTCCTGGCAGCAACAGCCCCTGAGCATCCCTTCTTCCCTGTCAGCAGGGGCTGCTACTGTCTGGTCCTCCCATTGTGCATCTCCCTGCCCCCAAACCTGCTGGGCCATCTCACAGCACCTCTTGCTGCCTCCCTGGCATACCTTTGCCTCTTAGTAAATATTACCTCATCAGGTCTAAAGAGGGAGGTAAAAGCCACACACAGCACCTTCAAGGCAGCGTGGCACCAGCATGCACGTGCTGCATGTGCCTGGGCTAGCATGAGTCAGTGGCAGGCTTGGGGACACATCCTAGTGCCAGTGCTCTGGTCCAGTTTTCCCAGTAACACAGCGTCCTCCTTCGTTTTAGGCTTGGGAGATCATCGGGTCTCTGGCAGTGACACTGACATCAGTCACCTCTGCGGGAGGTGACTAAAACCAAAGAGAAGGAAGGACAATGAACATGCAAATGACAGGGGCAGAAAGAGCTGTTCTGTTGGTCATCTTCACGGTAGAGACGCTTCTGGAGAGCTTAGTGGGAAACTGAATCAACTGAGGTTTCACACATTGCTTAGGCTGAACCCCTTTTCAGACCTTTTTGTAGCTCCAGAGGCTGGGACGTCGGGCAGGAAGAAGGGACGGCAGTGAAGGTGTCGTGCTCCTGGAGCAGCTCCCTGCACGTCAGCTGGTCCAAGGCCTTTTCACCCCTCATTGGCGTGTCCGTGGGTGCTGGGAGGTGGGCCAGCACGGCCCCCCGCTGCAGTACTCACCTCTTCTCACCCCCACGACGAGATGGCCGCCCTCATCGCCGAGAACTTCCGCTTCCTCTCCTTGTTCTTCAAGAGCAAAGATGTGATGATCTTCAATGGTTTGGTGGCCCTGGGCACGGTGGGGAGCGAAGAGCTCTTCTCAGTCGTTGCCTTCAACTGCCCCTGCTCCCCTGCACGCAACTACATCTATGGGCTGGCCGCCATTGGTGTCCCAGCCCTGGCCCTCTTCCTCATCGGCGTCATCTGGAACAACCACACCTGGAACCTGGTGGCCGAGTGCCACAAGCGTGGCATCAAGAATTTCTCTGCTGCCGCCACCTTCCTCCTGTTTGGCTCCATCATGGGCCGGGCGGCCGTGGCGCCTGTCACCTGGTCAGTCATCTCGCTGCTGCGCGGGGAGGCTTACATCTGTGCCCTCAGTGAGTTTGTCAAGCCGTCCTCCCTGGACAAGTTCCCAGCCGAGTATGGGGCTGAGGTGCTGGCCAGGTTCCCCTGTAAAGACATGCCAGCAAACCTCACCAAGTTCAGGGATGAGGTGACACGGAGGCTGAGATACGAGTCCCAGGTAGGCCCACTGGGGACAAAGCCGCATGGAGGGGGTGAGAATACCTTGCCATGTCCTAACACAGCCTCTCTCTTCTCTCTCAGCTCTTTGGCTGGCTGCTCATCGGCATCGTGGCGGTCCTGGTTTTCCTCACCAAGTGCCTGAAGCACTGCTGCTCGCCGCTGAGCTACCGGCAGGAGGCTTACTGGGCCCAATA